AAGTGAATTTATAAATCATGGTCACCATAGATATAAACTTGTACATCACTGTTACCATAGAAAAAAAATGGTCTTATTTTCCATGAACTTTTTTCTGGAGTCTCTATGTAAATCTTTTCATGATTTGCACTAGTTCTGAGTTTTGACTATCTACTTGCTAAAGATATTACCTTAGATTCCTGGTTTGTCTGATTATAATGAGTGATTAAAAAAAGAAAATAAATAAATAAAGATAAATTTTTGAAAGGGATGCTTATAACATTAAGTATGAAGTTGTGAGGAAACTAAGTGGGTTTGGAGTGACAGACACGTAACTGTGCAATAATGGATTGGCTCATGTTCAAATGTCTACTATTAAATGCTATGCTCAAACTCTGAGTCTCTTAATGAAATGGTATGTTTTTCTCTTTCTGAAGTATAGAGAAAAGCCTTTGATTAAAATTTAAATGTAAATGATTGTATTTTGTTAGAAACAGCTACAGACAATCTGCAATGTTTCCAATCTCCCCGCAGGTTTATCATTTTAAATTTAGAAGATAAAAAAAAATTGCATGGCAGACGCCAAGAGGCTTTGGTGGAAAAAGTAGCCAGGGATATTACAATGTAATTGTAGGAAAGAGAATTCAATTAAAGGCATAGAAAATTTAATTGACAGTGTCTTTGTTGTGAATTTTCATTGGAAGGGAATGAGAAATCCTGAATTCTACATAAAACATATTTATTAGTGACAAGCAGCACCCAGGAGTCCTGATAGGTCGACTGAAGTGCCAGACCTGTGACAATCTGGCAGGGACTTGTTCTCATTTGTAAACTTTCAAGTACAATAATGTGACAAGGTGCTCACCTGTCTGTAGGTCACTCATATACCACAGAGGTCAAAAATATTAAAAGATCAAAGATCACCATATATTTTATATTTAATTAGGGCCCTGCACTTATAGTAATCATGGTGTCCGTCTTTATGTCTGTCCATCTACCTGTCTGTCCGTCAGCACTTTTGTTTCTGTGTGATAAATTGAGTTTGATATGACATTGATGATAGCATGATGATGATGATACTACATCCCTCTGGGGTGTGTGTGTCTAAGAATGGGGTGGGGTATATAATACTGATAATGTCTTATAATGTAGCATTTTGTCAATGTTACCAAACCTAATATGTCTTGCACGTTTCTGAAGCATTGTTAGGACCCATTGACAATGATACCAATGTGAGACAGCGACAATGTAAAATACTGAGAGTTGAAATGCTACAAAGAGTGTAAGACATAGACAGATGGATGTAGAAATGGTACAAAGGGTGTGAGACATAGACAGTTGGGTGTAGAAATGGTACAAAGGGTGTGAGACATAGACAGTTGGGTGTAGAAATGGTACAAAGGGTGTGAGACATAGACAGTTGGATGTAGAAATGGTACAAAGGGTGCGAGACATAGACAGTTCGGTGTAGAAATGTTACAAAGAGTGTAAGACATAGACAGTTAGGTGTAGAAATGCTACAAAGAGTGTAAGACATAGACAGTTGGATGTAGAAATGGTACAAAGGGTGTGAGACATAGACAGTTAGGTGTAGAAATGTTACAAAGAGTGTAAGACATAGACAGTTGGATGTAGAAATGGTACAAAGGGTGTGAGACATAGACAGTTGGATGTAGAAATGGTACAAAGGGTGTGAGACATAGACAGTTCGGTGTAGAAATGCTACAAAGGGTGTGAGACATAGACAGTTGGATGTAGAAATGTTACAAAGGGTGTGAGACATAGACAGTTCGGTGTAGAAATGCTACAAAGGGTGTGAGACATAGACAGTTGGGTGTAGAAATGTTACAAAGGGTGTGAGACATAGACAGTTGGGTGTAGAAATGTTACAAAGGGTGTGAGACATAGACAGTTGGGTGTAGAAATGTTACAAAGGGTGTGAGACATAGACAGTTGGGTGTAGAAATGTTACAAAGGGTGTGAGACATAGACAGTTGGGTGTAGAAATGCTACAAAGGGTGTGAGACATAGACAGTTGGATGTAGAAATGCTACAAACAGTGTGAGACATAGACAGTTGGGTGTAGAAATGCTACAAACAGTGTGAGACATAGACAGTTGGGTGTAGAAATGCTACAAACAGTGTGAGACATAGACAGTTGGGTGTAGAAATGCTACAAACAGTGTGAGACATTAACAATTTGGTGAAGAAATGCTACAAACAGTGTGAGACATTAACAATTTGGTGAAGAAATGCTACAAACAGTGTGAGACATAGACAGTTGGATGTAGAAATGTTACAAAGAGTGTGAGACATAGACAGTTGGGTGTAGAAATGCTACAAACAGTGTGAGACATAGACAGTTTGGTGTAGAAATGCTACAAACAGTGTGAGACATTAACAATTTGGTGAAGAAATGCTACAAACAGTGTGAGACATTAACAATTTGGTGAAGAAATGCTACAAACAGTGTGAGACATAGACAGTTTGGTGTAGAAATGCTACAAACAGTGTGAGACATAGACAGTTTGGTGTAGAAATGCTACAAACAGTGTGAGACATAGACAGTTGGTGTAGAAATGCTACAAACAGTGTGAGACATAGACAGTTTGGTGTAGAAATGCTACAAACAGTGTGAGACATAGACAGTTCGGTGTAGAAATGCTACAAACAGTGTGAGACATAGACAGTTCGGTGTAGAAATGCTACAAACAGTGTGAGACATAGACAGTTCGGTGTAGAAATGCTACAAACAGTGTGAGACATAGACAGTTGGGTGTAGAAATGCTACAAACAGTGTGAGACATAGACAGTTGGGTGTAGAAATGCTACAAACAGTGTGAGACATAGACAGTTGGGTGTAGAAATGCTACAAACAGTGTGAGACATAGACAGTTGGGTGTAGAAATGCTACAAACAGTGTGAGACATAGACAGTTGGGTGTAGAAATGCTACAAACAGTGTGAGACATAGACAGTTGGGTGTAGAAATGCTACAAACAGTGTGAGACATAGACAGTTGGGTGTAGAAATGCTACAAACAGTGTGAGACATAGACAGTTTGGTGTAGAAATGCTACAAACAGTGTGAGACATGTGAGACAATTTGGTGTAGAAATGCTACAAACAGTGTGAGACATAGACAGTTTGGTGTAGAAATGCTACAAACAGTGTGAGACATAGACAGTTCGGTGTAGAAATGCTGCAAAGAGTGTGAGACATAGACAGTTCGGTGTAGAAATGCTACAAACAGTGTGAGACATAGACAGTTTGGTGTAGAAATGCTACAAACAGTGTGAGACATAGACAGTTTGGTGTAGAAATGCTACAAACAGTGTGAGACATAGACAGTTGGATGTAAAAATGTTACAAAGGGTGTGAGACATAGACAGTTCGGTGTAGAAATGCTACAAAGGGTGTGAGACATAGACAGTTGGGTGTAGAAATGCTACAAAGGGTGTGAGACATAGACAGTTGGGTGTAGAAATGCTACAAACAGTGTGAGACATAGACAGTTGGGTGTAGAAATGCTACAAACAGTGTGAGACATAGACAGTTGGGTGTAGAAATGCTACAAACAGTGTGAGACATAGACAGTTGGGTGTAGAAATGCTACAAACAGTGTGAGACATAGACAGTTGGGTGTAGAAATGCTACAAACAGTGTGAGACATTAACAATTTGGTGAAGAAATGCTACAAACAGTGTGAGACATAGACAGTTTGGTGTAGAAATGCTACAAACAGTGTGAGACATAGACAGTTGGGTGTAGAAATGCTACAAACAGTGTGAGACATAGACAGTTTGGTGTAGAAATGCTACAAACAGTGTGAGACATAGACAGTTGGATGTAGAAATGTTACAAAGAGTGTGAGACATTAACAATTTGGTGTAGAAATGCTACAAACAGTGTGAGACATTAACAATTTGGTGAAGAAATGCTACAAACAGTGTGAGACATAGACAGTTCGGTGTAGAAATGCTGCAAAGAGTGTGAGACATTAACAATTTGGTGAAGAAATGCTACAAACAGTGTGAGACATTAACAATTTGGTGAAGAAATGCTACAAACAGTGTGAGACATTAACAATTTGGTGTAGAAATGCTGCAAAGAGTGTGAGACATTAACAATTTGGTGAAGAAATGTTACAAAAAGTTTGAGACAGTGATGTTATAGTATAATAATTCTACAACAAGCAGGAGACATTGACAATGGGTTGGCTATGTCAATGCTACAAAAATTGATACATATGGTGTGCGCAAATAGTTAGGTGGCGCCGAACCTACTGCATTAAAATCAGTGATTAAAAAAAAAAATATTGCTTGACATATTAAGAAGAGTTTACCCAATGTTTTTTTTTTAATTTTATTGAAATTCCCTCGGGTGATGAAGTAGACTTGGGTAGCTTTCTGTATAAATCTGCTGCCATATACAACATTAACCATATACAGTTGTGTACTGAAGTTAACATTAAAAAATATTATTATTGGTTCTTTGAAAAATAAACAGTTTGAACAATGATAGTCTTTTCAAAAGCAAAATCAAATCATATTTGTTTCGTTCATGCCTTGTTTTGTCACAGACAAAAGTCTCATGGTGACCTGTTGTGGTTGCCTTTTGTTCAGTCAGAGATAAAAGTCTCTTGGTGACCTATTGTGATTGCCTTTTGTTTATTAAGATTTGAACATTGCCAGACTTCAGCCCTGACCCGTACCCCACATCAGTTTTTTTTTTTACGTGTATCTTGTTTGGTACATTTTTAGAGCATAACTTCTCCAGAAATGTTTTGTGATAAATGTTTGCTGTTGAATTCTTGTTTTTCTACAAAGCTCGCCTTTATTTACTATTGATGTGCCTAAGTAACAGAACATTAATTAAGTGAAGTAAATTTTTAAAATTTGAATTTTTAAAGGATTGATATATTTTAAAATGATTTATTCAGTAAAGTTATTTTTCAAAATATATTTTGAGATGAAAAATGTTTTATTCAGAAGTAAAGTGTTGTTTTTGTGTTGTTTTACAGACAGGCACAGATCCGTACTGCTTCGTGGAGTTCTATGACCACTCGTCTGCAGCATCTGCTCTATCAGCCATGAACAAGAGGATGTGCATGGGAAGGGTGAGTAGTCTCCCTTTACAGATTTTGAAGATGACAAAACTTTGAGAAAAGACTTTAGAGATATACTTATTGTCACAGAAATGACACCAAGGTGGTTTGAGTAGCAGGGATCTTGATGATGAAAAATAAGATTTTTCAATCTGTTTACTTGTGATATTTCGACTTCCTTCTTGCCTTTATTGAGACTGGCTATTTACTGACAAACGTACATTGATTGACAAGACACTGGGATATGTTTGACTGTATACTGTATTCCAGTACATTAGTTGGAGTTATAACATGGCATTTGTGTTGTCGATGAGGGAAAAATTTACAGGGTTATTACGACATTGGAGGTGGAGTTATAACATGGCATTTGTGTTGTCGATGAGGGAAAAATTTACAGGGTTATTACGACATTGGATGTGAACTCAGGATGTTGACCACCAATGAGGCCAGCTTTCCTATTTGAAGATATCATGAGCCATAGAGTGGCCTTGAAATTTTAATAAAATTCCACTTTGGATGTTGACTAGCATGATAAATGTATAAGAATGAGATTGATGGATAAGCCTGCTGTGTCCAGTAAATCGTGATAGTATGCCACAAATGTCACTTGGCCTGTTACCACAGAAAATTTAAAAAAAAACAAGTGGTTAATGTTTTTTACCCAAGAGTTTTTTTCCTATTTCTTTGGTTGTCCATTTGTTGGTACACACACAAGGTTAACATGATGTCTACATAAGGAGAAACAGATAGTTTGCCCTTTTCCTGAAATGAAATCACAAGACCTTGGCAGCTACTTTCAAAAAAAAAAAAAAACAATGAAAATGCTTGGATATCACTAGTTTTAACCCAAAACTTCATTGTCTAAAAAATAAGCAACACTGTCACAGTAACAAAAATTCATGATTCAGCATATCCCAACTTGGAACAATATCAGGTCATGAACTCATGTAGACATTATGGAAATTTCACTTCCTGTAAAGCTAGTTTTTGATGTGTAGACACAGATTCAAGATTGCCAAAAATAGTAATTTTAATGCAGAAGTATGACTATGAAAGATGTGAAGCTCCACATTGCCCAATTCAACATGATTTAACTAATTTAAGGATTTTGATAAAAGCTTTAAATAAGGAGAAATCTAATGAACAAATCTATGGACTGCTACCATATCTGGAGAGATGGTAGATTTGTGATATATAAAGACACACAGTAAACATGGTATATCTGGTGAGATGGTAGATTAAGGGTACAGAAAGACACACAGTAAATATTGTATATCTGGTGAAATGGAAAATTTAGGGTGCAGGAAGACACACAGTAAATATTGAATATCTGGTGAGATGGAAGATTTAGGGTACAGAAAGACACATGGTAAACATTTGTAGATCTGGTGAGATGTTTGATTTTTAATACAGAAAGACACACAGAAAATATTGCTTATATTTGGTCAAATGGTAGGTTGTTTTATTGAAGATGAACAGGGAGTCCTTAAATAAAACTTAAAATAAAGCTGCCTTACTATGACGATATGATATTGCGGCATATTTTTACTATTTCTGCAGTTTTTCTCTAAATTGAATATATATTTCAATTAAAATGCAACCCTGGAATTACAGAAAATAAATTTTATTGTGTGGTAATTCTAACCATTTCCCATTGCACAGTGCTAACGCCAATCAAAATGAAACTTTTTTTCTCTCTTTTAAACTATAGCTTTTCCAAATGTTGTCTATTGAGGTTTCAAGTCTACCTAGCTGAGGCATAGATATATTACATTTCAATATTTTGAGGGATAAGTTGAGAAAGTTTAAATTGAAATTTATCTGTCAGTCTTTATTTGTCTCCCAGGATATCAGTTTAAGCCTATAGAGAATCAATAGGCTGGTAATGAGATCTATTTCTGACAGTCACCTTCACTCTCAAATTTGATTTGTAACGAGACACAGACCAGCATTCATGTGTCTTTCGAGGCAGATTGTTTGTCTCACCATTTCCAACATACTGCTACCAGAAAAATGTGAGATTTACATTTTGTAAAAAAGTTTCTGGTAGGTATGGAGAAGGAAAACATACTTAATGTGAAAATCAGTCCTGTAAAGTATGGTTATCATGAATAACTGATGTATGTAGAGTGTAAACAAGTGTGGTTATCACCAATACCTGATGTATGTAGAATGTAAACAAGTGTGGTAAGTGTGAATAACTGATGTATGTAGAATGTAAACAAGTGTGGACAGAGTGAACATCTGATGTATGTAGAGTGTAAACAAGTAACATTATCACCAATACCTGATGTATGTAGAATGTAAACAAGTGTGGTTAGTGTGAACATCTGATGTATGTAGAGTGTAAACAAGTGTGGTTATCACCAATACCTGATGTATGTAGAGTGTAAACAAGTGTGGACAGTGTGAACATCTGATGTATGTAGAGTGTAAACAAGTGTGGTTATCACCAATACCTGATGTATGTAGAATGTAAACAAGTGTGGTTAGTGTGAACATCTGATGTATGTAGAGTGTAAACAAGTAACGTTATCACCAATACCTGATGTATGTAGAATGTAAACAAGTGTGGTTAGTGTGAACATCTGATGTATGTAGAGTGTAAACAAGTGTGGTTATCACCAATACCTGATGTATGTAGAATGTAAACAAGTGTGGTTAGTGTGAACATCTGATGTATGTAGAGTGTAAACAAGTGTGGTTAGTGTGAACATCTGATGTATGTAGAATGTAAACAAGTGTGGACAGTGTGAACATCTGATGTATGTAGAGTGTAAACAAGTGTGGTTAGTGTGAACATCTGATGTATGTAGAATGTAAACAAGTGTGGTTAGTGTGAACATCTGATGTATGTAGAATGTAAACAAGTGTGGTTAGTGTGAACATCTGATGTATGTAGAGTGTAAACAAGTGTGGTTATCACCAATACCTGATGTATGTAGAGTGTAAACAAGTGTGGACAGTGTGGTTAGTGTGAACATCTGATGTGATGTAGAGTGTAAACAAGTGTGGTTATCACCAATACCAAGTGTGGTTATCACCAATACCTGATGTGGTTAGTGTGATGTATGTAGATGTAAACAAGTGTGGTTAGTGTGAACATCTGATGTATGTAGAATGTAAACAAGTGTGGTTAGTGTGAACATCTGATGTATGTAGAGTGTAAACAAGTGTGGTTAGTGTGAACATCTGATGTATGTAGAGTGTAAACAAGTGTGGTTATCACCAATACCTGATGTATGTAGAATGTAAACAAGTGTGGTTAGTGTGAACATCTGATGTATGTAGAATGTAAACAAGTGTGGACAGTGTGAACATCTGATGTATGTAGAGTGTAAACAAGTGTGGTTATCACCAATACCTGATGTATGTAGAGTGTAAACAAGTGTGGACAGTGTGAACATCTGATGTATGTAGAGTGTAAACAAGTGTGGTTATCACCAATACCTGATGTATGTAGAATGTAAACAAGTGTGGTTAGTGTGAACATCTGATGTATGTAGAGTGTAAACAAGTGTGGTTATCATGTATGTAGAATGTAAACAAGTGTGGTAAGTGTGAATAACTGATGTATGTAGAATGTAAACAAGTGTGGACAGTGTGAACATCTGATGTATGTAGAGTGTAAACAAGTGTGGTTAGTGTGAACATCTGATGTATGTAGAGTGTAAACAAGTAACGTTATCACCAATACCTGATGTATGTAGAATGTAAACAAGTGTGGTTAGTGTGAACATCTGATGTATGTAGAATGTAAACAAGTGTGGTTAGTGTGAACATCTGATGTATGTAGAGTGTAAACAAGTGTGGTTATCACCAATACCTGATGTATGTAGAATGTAAACAAGTGTGGTTAGTGTGAACATCTGATGTATGTAGAGTGTAAACAAGTGTGGTTATCACCAATACCTGATGTATGTAGAGTGTAAACAAGTGTGGACAGTGTGAACATCTGATGTATGTAGAGTGTAAACAAGTGTGGACAGTGTGAACATCTGATGTATGTAGAGTGTAAACAAGTGTGGTTAGTATGAACATTTGATGTATGGTGCATGTGGTACCTTAATTTCAGAGTTATTGCCCTTTTGTGTTTTGGAACATAACTTTAAATAGCTTGCATTTAAACTAGGATAATGAAACTTTATATATATATTTGTAGTGATAAGACAATGTGCAATGTACAAATATTAGGGCTGGCAACCGCCTAAGTATAGAGTTATTGCCCTTTGCTAAAACTTTTTGTATCCAAAGCATAACTTTGCTTTCATTCAAAGTAGGATAATGAAACTTGATATATACACTGGTCAAACTAAGATGATTTACAGTGTACTAAATCCATGGCCCAAAACCCCTAAACTACAGAGGTATTGTCCTTTGTTGAAATTTTGTGTCCTATCAAGTTGGTATTTTTTGGGTCCGAGGTTTGGGGAGATATTAATCATTTTCACTTATCCTTTTTTTTTTTTATTAGTTTCATTGATTAACATACATGGACACTACATTGTATAAACTGTCATTGTTGGCAACACCCTCATGCATGTTTACTGATTCTCACATTTCTCTTCATTTAAATGCTAAACATTGAAATTCAATCAAAACTTGAATATTTCACTGGCGTCCGATGATGCATGACTAACCTCTGTCATTATGTTTACTACAAGATATAATGGTAAGTATTGATTATGAGAATGCTCGTATAAATACTTACCTTCTGATGACAAAGGCTCATCCTGGTGCAGTTCTGCATGTGGAGAGATCTGATGCCGTGTCACCATCATAGAAAAAAACACCAACTTTAGCCTTGATTTTTATTATGTGTTTACAGTGAAATAGATGATTATTGACGTATCAGAAATCATCAGTTCCTGTCAGATTATTCTATATATTAACTCAACAGAACATCAACTGAAACATTATGGACAAGGGATCATATAATTCACAATTTTGGTTCACCTTTGGCAATGGAAAATTTCATTAAAATGGTAAAGGTTTTTTTTTGCGAAGACAAA